TGGCAGGCGCCTCTGGTCCCAGCTACTACGGAGGCTGAGGCAGAAGACTCGCTTGAGCCCAGGAGTTGGAGGTTGCTGTGAGCTGTGATGCCACGGCACTTCACCCAGGGGGACACCTTGAAGCTCTATCTCAAAAAAAAAAAAAAAAAAAAGGCTCCTCTTTATAGTAACAACAGAAGAAGTGCTGTTTCCTCCATTCAAGGCCCTTTCTAACCACTCCTTTGGCTTTATTCCCCACTTGTTTAACCACTTTTACCATTCAGTAGCACTCACCTTTCCTCCATACCTTTGCACTCTGCTTGCAGTGACCCAAGCCCTATCTCCTCAGCTGCCAACTCCTTCAAGGCTCGGCAGAAATGGCTCCTCCTCCAAGAGACCTTCCCTGATCAGCTGAGCCCTCAACCATGGTCAGTACCTCCTGCTCTGGGCCCGGTCCCAGCCCTGGGCACACCTGCTACTGTGACCGAGGGACAGTTACAGGGTCCGAAAGGTCTCTGTCCCATGATCAGGAGACCCCCAGGGTAGGGAATGAGCAGGATCCAGCCTTCAGCAATGGCTAGTACATGTCAGGTAACCAAGAAAGGTAGATAAATGAACCTAACATATGTATGTATGTGAGTCCATGGTTATGTACACACTTTGCATATCAGTTTTGCACATCTGCATGTTGGCCTGAGTGTGTCTCCTGTATGTGTGTGACTCTGTTCTATTAAGTGTGTGCCTCAGAGGATCTGCGAGTGGTTCTCTCCACCTCTCTGAGTCTGTCTGTCTGTGTCTGCATACATGTCTTTATGTCTTGTGTGTCTTTATCTGTGCTTTCTGCACAGGTGTGTATCTGCCTGTGTATTAGGGTAGGGGGATGTCCACTGTGATTTGAGCTGGCACTCTGGCCTAGTTGGCCCAGTCTCTGAACTGACGCCCTTGGCTTGGAAAGCCACTAGCAAAACCAGAATAGTCCTCAGCCCCTTGACTATCGGCCTACTGTCTACAACATTCCTGTGCCCTCCTGCTCCACCTGCCCTGAACATACCTGCTGAGCAAGCAGCCTTTGGGCCCAGACAGAACAGGGCCACCTGAAGAAGCAGTCCAGTCCAGCAGAGTCCTCAGAGTCTGGCCCAGGCCTTAGGACCTCCGGAGCAGCTGAAGCCAATGACCAACAGCTGGGACTTCCCAGCCATGGTCAGTGCCTGCCAGGCCCACCCAGCCCCACCCCCCGCCCCACCCTCTATCCTGGCCCTGTACTTTCACTTTCAGAAAAGTTTCCATCCCCTGTTCATTCCAGATGCAATCACTTCAACCTTTGATTCATGGCAGCTCTGGGCTCAGGCTGAGGGTCAGGGACCATAGGGGCAAGGAGAGATGGGGAGGACAGCACCCAGGGTCCTGTGGCAATTGGGGTGAACAGTGCCAGGGACTTCTCACAACACCCAGTACCTCATTCTATCAGAGGCAAAGGGTAGGCAGGCATTGGCCAGCGGGGACACTCAGCCCACAGTGCCTGAGCCCAGAAGGACCTCTCCCTCCAAGGCACAGGCTCCAGCACCAGGCAAGTCTGTCAAGTTCACCAGAAGACCGTGTACCCTGTATGGGGCTATAAGCCACAAGGAAACAATTTTGAGCTGTAAGCCTTCCCTGAAGATGTCAGGAGCTGGGAGGAAAAGAGAAGGGCCCTAAGGGACATGGAAGCACACTCAGAAGTGAGGAGGGATGGCATTCTGGGCAGGGGCAGTGACATAGCAATTGTGTGGAAGTGGGACCTGAATGAAGAATCAGGAACATGGGCGTGACCCACCCATGGTGGATCAGGTTAGAGACATTTGTGAGGAGGATCACCAGGATTTCCCAGAAGAGACAGCTCCTGCCCCTTCATGGGGGATTCCACTCCAAGCGTCTTAGGAAAGAAACTCAGGGAAAGCCCAAGGAGAACGAATCCAGACCTGTCCCAACCTGGGCTGGGGCCACCAGTGTGTGAAGCCAGCAGGAGAGGAGGAATGCAGAGATGTGTTTAGGGCTGCCATCACACAATATCACAGATCAAAGGGCTTCAACAACAGACATTTATTTTCCCACAGGTCTGGAGCCCAGACTGAGATCAAGATGCTGGCAGGGTTGGTTTCTTCTGAGGCCTCTTTCCTTGGTCTACAGACGACCACCTTCTCCCTGTGTCTTCACATGGTCTTCCTTCTGTGTGTGTATGTCCGTGTCCACATTTCCTCTTCATATTGGATTAGGGTGCACCTTACTGAGCTAATTTTAACTTATTACTTCTTTAAAGACCTTACTTTTAAATGAGATCACACTCTGAGGCACTAGTTGTTAGGACTTCAACATATTAATTTTGGAGGAATACAATTTCGCCCATAGCAGATTGAAAGGCACCTGAGATGCTGCAGGCACTCCATTGCCATCTGCAGATAGGCCAAGTTATACCCAAAGATGCCAGCTCTTCCTCCAGGAAGCCTTCCAGTTACCACTTGAGTCCTTAGCCCCTAGCCCTGGGTTCCCTCTGTGAAATGGGGTCAGAAGAGTCCCAGTTCAAGCCCCCGGAGCACCCATCTGGCCAGTGGCTGCTCCTCCCAGCTCAGTCTGGCCTGCCTGCCTCCTGTCCTATGGGTCCCCAACAGTTAGAGATAGAAGATGACAGGGAATAAGCATAATAAGAGACGGAGCTGGGGGCCCAAAATGGCTGTGCATGACTCAGTGACCTCCCCATGGCTACACAGCTAGCAAGAGAGGCCAGGACTGTGTCCCAGGTCTCTAGCTCTCAGGACTGGGTCTTCCCATGGGCACATAGAGACTATTAGGTCTGACAACACCCCCCACCTGGGACTTCCAGTCATGGGTCACCTGCATTTAAGACACAGATGCCTGAATAGTGGGTGGTGCCCAGGTTTGGGGGAACTGCTCCTGGGCTTCCCCCAGTTACCATCTGCACTTTACGCCCATCCAAGCCTGTGCCCACTTTTCAGCATGAGGTTACAATGTTTCTTTTATTCTATTTCCATGTTTTCCCCCAACTTTCTCAGTAAAATCCCTTTGGAAAAGTCCCAGTTTTGTCTCAGAGGAGCTTGGGGCACAAGGGTGGCCTGAGGGCTCAGGAGAAGGGAGGGAAGGGGAGAGGGTAGGAGGGGGAAGGGCCATGGAGGAAGAGGCATAACAGGGTACAATCAAAGCACAGCCCAGCTCCAGGTGACCTTGGAGAAGTACATCTATCTGTCTCTGAGCCTCAGTTTGCTCCTCCATAAAATGAGGATGTTTGGGGGATCGAATGCGTTCACCTTGGCTGAGGACTTTGCTTCCAGGTCAGGAAAGGTAGGAAGAAGGACTCTCATCACCAGATGCTCACCAGACATCTTTCTCTCCTAGGAAGCCAGGCTGTCACACTCGGAATGAGGTTGCCAGAGGCGGCAAATTCCACGCACACAGCTGCCCAGTCCAGGCTGAAGCCCAGAGTGAGAGCAGGAGGCCTGGGTTCCATTCTCTGCTCCTGGCTGGCCGGGGCGGGAGCGGGGAGAGGAGGCGGTAGTTCTCACTCTGAGCCCAAATCTCCCCAAGGCGAATATTGCAAAGCGCCCCTGGCGGTGATGTGGGTTCTCTCCGCAGTGTCCCCATCGACGCCAGGGGGAGCTGCAGGGTGATTCAGGTGAGTGTCCCCACCCCAACCCCGGTAGAAGTGTTCCGCGACCTCTGCAGAGAGGGGCACCGCCCCTGCCATAATCAGCTGCGCGTGCTCTGGGCAGTGGTGGGGGTGATCTGGCCCGACTGGAGGAGAGCAGACCTGTCCAGCCGGCTGAGTGGTGCCGGGTGGAGCGCTCTGTCTCGCCCGCGGTGGGAACCTTTCCTGGACTGCTGTCCCACCTCTACTCAGGTGCACACTGGGGTCCTGGGACCTCCACCTTGGGTCACCTCCTCCCAAGCTGCCCTGTGAGATGGCACGCTCCATAGTGGTGTCGTGGGCGCACTGTCTTGGGTCTCAGGAGCTCTAGGATTCTGTCTCAGCTCAGGAGCTTGTCAGCTGTGGGCAAGTTGTGTTTAAATATATAGAATAACCCTCGCCTCTGAGGGGTGTAGTGAGGATTAACTCCCCCTTGTCCACCTACATTGCCAGCATGCAGGAGGTGGGGAGCCTCACCCCACATCCCAGTGTCGGCTGTGGCAGCGCTTCCTGTAAAATGCCTGCTCCCTTTTGCCCCAGCCCCACCTCGTCCTAGCCTTTGCCTCCCTGGCTCCCAGAAAACATGACTGCCTGGAGGAGAACAACCCAACACCTCTACTAAACTGTAGAACAGGGGAGGGCCCACAGGTACATCCAGGTCCTATGCCCCCGGCCCAGGGGGCCCACCGTTTAAAATTAAAGCAGGCACCCAGACTGCCAGACCAACTTTGGCACTTCCCCTCCCACCTCTCCCACATTTGAGGGGTGAGCTATTTTTAGAAGGTAGGAAGGTTGGAGAAAGTGCCTTATTTATCGTGGAGGTTAGCAAGGCTTTCAGAAAAAAGCTCTTTGCTGAGCTAACATTTATGTAGTACTCCCTCACAGCCCCCAGCGCTCCACACACCCTCTTTCTCAGGCAGGCTTCCTCAAGCTTCCTCAGGCCTGCTCAGGCAGGCCAAGGGCAGAGGCCAGGCTGGGGAGGAGGGCTCCACACCTGGGGAAGGGCCTAGGCCATAGTTAGGTTTCTGCCCTCATGCCAACCCCAATCAGGTGGAAGGGATCCTCTTGAGCAGTGAGATAGAGCCCAGAGACAATGTCATCAGGCACCATGGAGGGACAGGACCCTCATGTGAGGTTGGAGCTACCCAACCTCCCCTGGGGGCTCTGGCCAGCTTGATGGCTTCCCAGCCTCGGGGATCCCTTCATAGGCCCAGCTAACACTAGCCTTGGCCACATCACTTTGGACCTTTGTTTCCTCATCTATAAAAAGGAGCTTTTTCAAGGATTTAATGAGGTCTGCAACCTGGAATAGGGCACCCCACGCCCCAAACCATCTTTGAGCCCTACGTCACCCAGGGTGGGGAGTAACAGGAGTGAATCCTGCTCTCGGGGTTCAGCTACTTGGAGGAGGCTGCTCCTGCCTCAGGCAGCCTTGGCTGAGGCCAGAGAGAGGGTCCATGGGTAGAGGCACCAGAGGAATCAATGTCATAGACACTAGGCAGACCCACCTCTCAGCCCTACATACCACTCCCCACTCCCATCCCCAGTGCCAACACCCATGTGGTCACCCACTTGGCACTCTTAGACTGGGTTGCGAGCTGAATCCCTTGCTTAGAAGGCCACTAGCCAAACCAAAATTGTCCTCAGGCCCTTAAGTCCCCACTGGCCACCAGTAAGTGCCTGTATTTCTGCCTCAAACTACTAATTGAAGGAAGGTTTGAGGGGAGATGATCCAGACCTGGGCCATGGACAGGAAAGGTCAGGGCTGTGACTCTGGTCAGACTCAGTGACACAGGAAGCAGCTTCTGGCTCTGCCTCCTGGGTATCCAAGCAATCTCATCCCTTTCTTTGCATCAGCCCCACCATTCTGGGGTTGAGGCTCTTCTATCAGAGAGCAGAGGCTGGCCACATCCTTGTCCTCTCACTGGGCTGGGAATGCCTGGTCCTCAGGGTTAGTACACTAACAGCCAGAATCATCTGCGGTCTTCCCTGATGCTCCCAGGAGACTCGAGGAAGGGGCTGCAGAAACATAAAGGGGTCCAAGTGAGCTTTTGGCAGGCACAGGGCTGGGGTGGGCCACACCATCCTCCTGAGAGATGAGAAGAAGCAGGGGTGCTGCTCTAGAGAGGGAGTGTGAGGGTTCTAGGGGCAGGAGTTCCCCCCCACACCATACTAAGGGGCACGGCACAGTGAAGGATAGTCTAGGGCAGACCCAGGGACCTCCCCAGACCCAAGTCCTAGTGATTACTCAAGGAATGGTCCTCCATTCTGTCCCTGGGCAGAAACTGACAGTCGGTTGAGGGGGCTTTGGACAGAAATGGAAGTTAAGGATATAGGCAGACCCCTTCTGGGCCCAAGCTGCAGGGGATTGCTGGCCAGTGAGGTTACTGTCTTGGGGACTGGGGATGGGGAGAGAGTAGGCAGGGTGCAGAACAGCCCCAACTGTGGCTGAACTCATTTCCTAACCAGGGGACAGACTCCCCAGCAGTCCTCAGGAAACAACAAAACCTCCCAGGGTGCAGCTCATGCCCCCTTCCCACCTCCCCATGCCCATCAGAGCCTTCAAAGTTCCCCTGCCCTGGCCTGCTGTCTCTCCTTACCTCAGTCCTGGCCTGTCTCCTGCCCACATGATCCTCCTCACAGAAACTTCAGCCTTTAAACAGGGCACCTTCTGCTAGGACAGAAGCTGCTACTGGTTAGCCCATCCACACAAGGTGTGCACTTGTGCCCTTACCCTCCAGGCCCTAGTGAGCAACGCACACTGGCAGGGAGCCCAGAATGGGGAGGGGCAAGAACGCACAGCCATTCATTCCACAGGCAGTCATTGATCCTTCTCTGTGCCATGCCTGAGAATACAAGAACAGATGAGGGATCCATGTAGGGAGGGAAGGAGGATGGTGACAGAGAGGGGGGCCAAGGCCAGGCAGCACCTAGACACCAGACAGAGGTTCAAAGGGCAGTGATGGGTGGGGTGCAGGTAGGCTGGAGAGATCAATGGCCCTGCCTGCCAGAGTGACAAGAAGAAGGCACTGCTTCTGGCCCTGGCCACCCCCTCCTCTCAGCACCCCCACAGGCAGCACCTCACTCACCAGCAGCAGCCTGACTGGGAGCACCCCTCCTCTGGGCACCCTCCAGGAGCCAGCACAGCTCCCCACTCTCCACAGCTCCTGCCTCGCTGGGCTCCACCACAATGGAAGGCAGCCGTTGGCCCAGCAGAGAGCTCTTTCCCTGAGTGCCCACTGAAGCCAGCTGGAAGGGTGGACAGGAGTCAAAGCAATGCCAGGCCCAGGGTCTCAACTACCTCCCATTCTTATCTTGTACCCACCCTACTAGGAGGGTCAGGAAGAGCACGTGTGTATTTGTGCATATATCACCATCTGGAAGAAGGGTCCCGGCCTTTCCCCCATTCCACCACTAAGACTGGGTTATTCTGGCCCTGGGGTCATCCCTGTCCCTGGAGGCACCATAGGACCCACCTGGGTTCAGCCTCCATGAATCCATTTCACATATGAAGCCTAAGGCTGGAGAGGCCAAGGTCATACCAAGAGTGAGCTTGGGGCTTCTGTGTACCCTCTGCTTCCTCCTGTACCTGGAGTCCCTGCTTAGCCTCTTCCTGGGGTCTTCCCTGCAGGGGCCCTGCCCTCCTCCCTCTAGCTCTGCAGAGTTGAGAAGGTGTTACCATGGCAACCTGAGCTGGGCTCTGGGCTTGCTTGGGCTCATTGTTCAGTGGCCACAGGAGTATGCAGAGGCTGCCACCCCAATCCCCCAGGTGCCCTCAGCATCTCTGCCTCCCATTCCAGGACTTGGAGATGCAGTCCTGCTCCATTCTTCTGTGTCCCCACTAGCCCTGACCTGCCTATACCATCCCACTTCCATGTTTTGCTTGGGCAGATCTCCCTTCCTTGAGCTCCCTGCCTGCCTCCCATCCTTATTACCTAGAAGGATGGCTGCTTGTCCATCTCCCCCCAAGGGTGCAAGTGCCTCAAGGAAGGGCAGATGTACGCAGCACACAGGCCTTTGCTAAATGGCCCTTGGACTACCAAGGCAGAACCCCCTGAACAGTCTTTCTCAATGAACGTATCTGGGCTGCACCCCAGGCTGTGTTTTAACCAAGAGCTGCAGGTGACCCTGAGTATGATAACAGGTGTCATTGGACTGGGACATCTATGAGATGAAGGAGCACATGGGCCTCAGACACTAGCACAGCAGGAGTCCCAGCCCTGCCCCCAAGACTGGACCCTCTTGAAGTCCAGGGCCTCATGCTGGCACTGCCAGTCCAGGGCTTCTTTCCCCATCCCAGAACATGTTATTCTCTTACCTGCCCCAACCAAGTGCCTTCTCTATCCAGAGCGTGCCCGCAGAATAGAGGCAGGTGAGGCCAGCAGAGAGCTTGGCATTCTGAGGCCTAGCACTCACGTCATCTACCTACCAGCAAGACTGTGTCTGCAACCACGGGCTCCAGGCTGGCCCCAGTGTGACCCTAAGCTGATCCACCCTCTGTCCCGACTCCTCCCAACAATGAAAATGGCCCAGCTCTAGAATTCAGAACATAAAGGCTACAACCCTTGTGTAGGGACCTCAATTTTTAACTTCATTGACTGTCCCCCCAAAACTGGAAATCTTGGAGCAGGGAACCCTGGCATTGCCTCATCCCAGCAGAGAGAGAAGTGTGACTTAGGGAACAACCTCTGGGGTTCCCAGGTCAGAGGAATAATAAGCAAGCCATGACAGCTTACCTTCAATTGATTTGTCCATTAGACTTTTACAAAGGAACAGGTGGGTAAAGTAAGGCCACTGTTGATGCATGTCCCAAGTCATAGGCCAGGGTTTAAACCTGGCTTCTTCCTGGCCCCCCAGGTCCCCAATCACATACCTCCCCTGCAGGGCCTCTGGTGCCCTCAGCAGGGCTTGACTCTGACTGGGTGGGCTGGGAGGTGTTCATGCTGCTGCCGCTGCTGGGCTGCCACTGCTGGGCTGCCACTGCTGGGCTGCACAGGGACAGGGAGCAGAAATGAGAAGTCTGCAGCAGGCTGGATGCTCAGTCTCACCTACCTCCCAGCACTTTCAGGCTCCTTAGCCCACCCCACCCTACCCGACCTGGTCCTAGCACCCATGGCTCCAGCTAGACCACTATCATGGCTGCTCCCCACCAAGGCCATCACCAGAAGAGGCACTGGACAGTCATAACACAATGTGTCAGGGCTACAGAGGAAAAGCTGATCCAGCCTTGAAACTCGGGAAGGCTTCCTGGAAGAAAGTCAGCCAATCTGAGGCCTAAGCAATGAGCAGGAGGTAACCAGGCCAGCTGGGAGCAGAGAGGTATGTTCTGAGGCAGGGCACAGCCAGGGAAGGGCCCAGAGGGTCCAAGGGACCCAAACAGGTTTCTGAGACCAAAGGCTGGGGGTAGCAGGGACCAGGTATGAGTCAGTAAGAGGTCGAAGTGCCCAACTCCTCCCAAACAGCACACACCCAGGGCCAGGCCTTCAGCATCCACAGCTGAAAGGAAACTAACATTCTGCCTGGATTGGGCCAGGCCCCTCAGGTCAGGCACAGGGGTGAAGGAGCCTAGCCAAAGCTCTTACAGTAAGGAGTCTGGAAAGAGAATCCCAACCAGGAGTGATAGGCACCAGCCTTGGACTTGCCACTTGCACTCAGCCAAATAGGCCCTTGGACCATGTCTAAGCCAGAGACAGGAATGGGAGTGGATTCTCACAGGTAGAGATCTAACTTCAGTGGCTGACAGCCAGCAGGAGCCATAGGCAAGAGGCAGGGATCCTGGAGTGGGTTTGGGAAGGGGAGGATCAGTGATGGCAGGATGGAATGCCTGTGGCACGCACCCAATAGAGGTGAGGGAGAGAGACTTATGGGCAGCAGGCAAAGGGAGAAGGGCTGCTATTCTAGAAACTGAGGTTTCTTTTACCAAACACCCAGCTCAGGTAAACTCAGATCTCTCCAAGGCCCAGGGAAAGTAGGGAGTGGACATCTCCAGGCAATGAGCAGCCACGCCATACCTGCCTGGGCCTCCACCGAATCCCAAAGCCCATGAAATGCCGAGGCAACCCATTACTCCCTGGACTGCATCCTCAATCAATCCCTTCCTGGGACCCCATCTCAGGACCCAGAATCTAGGCTAGAGCCCAGGGCTGCCAGGACAGAGCTAGAGAGAGTAGACTCAGAGACCCAGACAAATATGGCAAAGAGGCAGAAGGGGAGGTAGGAGAAAGAAACATTAGCCACATGCGCAGTGGAGAAGAGCCAGAGCTAAAGACGGAGAGATTCCTAGCAAGAAGACAGAAACAGACCCAGAGATGACACAGAGCATGAAGGGAGAGGAATGATGATAGAGCTAGATGATAGAGCGTCACCTTAACAAGCCAATAGGGCAGGCAGGGAGCAAGAGCTGAAGGTGAAGGTTCCAGTGCCAGCAAACACACAGGCACATCTGTGGCTGCTGCCACCCACACCTCCTCTGGCTCCCAGGTGCTGCAGGCATGACCCCCTGGAGTCATTACTCATGCCCAGAGCACGGCATCCTCAGCCAGGACCCAGCAGAATGAGGACCCCAAACCCTTCCCTTCCTCTGGGGGCTCTTACTCAAATTCCCCCACCCCCCTCCTTCTCACCGGTATACCCACACCTGCCACCCCAGGCACGGGGCAGGTCTGGGCAAGGGTGGGGAGCGAGTGACCCTGCGCCCCACCCATACTCACCCACCTGTGCTCGACCTGGCACCAGGCTGCCTCGATTGCCTGGCGTTGTGGTTGCCAGCTCAAGCTTGCCCTGTGCTCCTGCCCCCCACACCCACCTGGCCTCTACTTCACAGTCACGCCCTCTGCTGTGATTGCCTGCTGCCTCCACCTTCCCAGTGCCAGCCCAGGGGAGGACAGGGGCTCATCTTCCCTTGACACTACCCCAGCCCCAAGGACCTGACCCTGGCAACTTGAGACCCTGAGCCTCAAGGTTAGAGCTTAGGAATTCTGGATGCAGAATTCAGTGGGGCTAAGTACATAAAAAGAGGACTCCCTCCAATTGGGATACAAAAGGCAGGAGTGAAAAGGACATGGGAAACCCCAAATTGGGATGGGCCCCTAAAGGGTGGCACTGGCACCCCATAACCCCCCCCCCCATTTCATGCCTAGTCCCATTCCCAAAAAGGTGCAAAACATCTCTAGGACAATCGGTCTCGTTCAATCCCATTTGAGGCCAACATGCATGTTCTCTGACCTACATAGTCCCCAACCTCCCACCATTGATTATCCAACACTCAACTGCCCCAGTCCAACCATGATCTACCACCAGCATGGATTGGTCTATCTTCTACCACCCAACCACCATCTGCTGTCATTAACCCAGCATCCATCCCATCCAAAATCCACTACCTACCTTTCACCATTCAGCCACTGTTCAGCATCCAACATCCTTTAACCATGCATCCACAGTTACAATCCTCTATCCAACCACCACTATCCACCATAAATACATCCATTCACCACCTGCACCCCTCATTACTTAAGCATTCAGTATACCACAAAAACATCCATTAGCCTGACATTCATTCACCATTCGTCCATCCACCACCTATCCATCCATCACTCACTATGTAACAGCTTTCCATCAGATATTTACAATTTACCTACCCATCTGCCATTCATATATCCATCCACCATGTATCTAATTGTCAATCACCAATCTCCCATCTGTTTACTATCCATTTATACTGACTTGTTCATTAGCCTATATCCCATCAGCCACAATTCATCCATCTACAATTCAGTCATCAGTCATTCACCAACCATCATCCACTCATATTTCTATGAACTACAACCCTCCATCTATCCATCCATCCACCTACCATCTCATATCCCTGTTTACCACATATCTATCTATTCATTGTCTATCTCACAATATCTTTTATCCATCCAGCATAATTCACTATACATCCAAAATCCATCCAAGTACTATCTATCTCATCCATCCATATTAATCCATTCTAGAAAAGCTTACTGCCTTTTATGTGCCAAATATTGTTCTAGATCAGGCGTCCTCAAACTACAGCCCATGGGCCACCTGCAGCCCACCTAGGACATTTATCTGGCCCACTGAGTGTTTTTGCTGCCACTGCCTGTCCTGCTTAGCAGCCAACTTGTCCTGGACCCAGCCACAGTCCGGCCCTTCAACAGTCTGAGGGACAGTGAACTGGCCCCCTGTTTAAAAAGTTTGAGGACCCCTGGTGTAAATGCTAGCAATAGAGAGACAGGAGTGAGCATTCATCTACCACTATCCATCTGCCATCACAATCTACCCATCTATCCATTCACTATTCGTGCATCATCCTGTATCCATTATTCTCTACCCTTTTAATACCCATCTTCATTCATCATCCATTTACTACTCATCTGCTATCTATCCACTTTCTCCATCTAAACATTAAACCACCCACTTACCATACTCCACTCACCACCTCTCATCCACTTATCATCTCTCCATGTACCTGTCCACCATTTACCTTTTAAGCATCAGTTTTCCAAAATGTTGCCTCCTTCTATTTAACCTTCCTCCATCCATCCATCACGTAATCACCACCTATCTATCTAGAATCCATCATTTGTTATCTATCCACCATCTATTCACCTTCTATCTATATTTTCACAGAACACAACCCATTATTCATCCAGCCAGTGACCATTCATTTGTTTGCCATCTATTCTATGTCCATCCACCATAAAGCCACTATTTACACATACTAGGAAACAAACTGCAGTGGATGTTAACAGATGGCAGAACACACCATGCTTATGGCTTCAAAGAATCAACATTGTTAAAATGTCTATATTACCCAAATCAATTTACAAATTTAACGTAATACCCATTAAAATACCAATGTCATACTTTAAAGATCTTGAAAAAATAGCTCTCCATTTCATATAGAACCAGGAAAAAAACTGAATAGCCAATGCAATTCTATGAATTAATAACTAATTCGAAGGCCTCGCTTTACAAAACTATAAAAACTCTAGAAGAAAGTGCGGGGGAAACTCTTGATCTTATTGACCTAAGGAAAGGATTTATGAAGACCCCACTGGCAATTGCAGCAACAACAAAAAATTAATAAATGGGACCTGATCAAGCTAAAAAGCCAATTTGGTACTACTAACAACACAATCAACAAACCAAAGAGACAATCTTCAGAATGGGAGAAGATATTTGCATCCAACAAAAAGCTAATAACCAGAATCTATAAATAACTCAAGCAAATCAACAAGAGCAAAAAAAAAAAAACCATTAAAAATTGGTGAAGAGACATGAACAGAAATTTTTCTCATGATGACAGATGAATGGCCAACAAACATGTGAAGAAATGTTCATCATACTTAATCGTCACAGAAGTGCAAATCAAAACCACTTTAAATTATCACCTAACTCTGGTAAGAATTGCCCACATCACCAGGTCCCAAAGCAACAGATCTTAGCATGGGTGTGGAGGGAAGGGAACACTTATGCGCTGCTGGTGGGACTGCAAACTAGTACAGCCTCTGTGGAAAGAAGTATGGAGATTTTTTGAAGAACCTAAAGTAGCCCTTCCACTTGGTCATTGCAATCCCATTACTAGGTATCTACCCAAAAGAAAAAAAAGGCATTTTACCATAAAGACATTTGTGCTCAAATCTTTATAGAAGCACAATTCACAATTGCAAAGATGTGGAAACAACCCACATGTCTTTCAACACATGAATGGATTAGTAAACTGTGGTATATGTAGACCATAGAGTACTACTCAGCCATAAAAATGATGGAGATTTCATATCTTTTATAACAACATGGATGGATTTGGAGAACATTTTCCTAAAAGAAGAATCAGAAGAATGAAAAAACAAGCATTATATGTACTCAGTAATTAATTAGAACCAGTAGATTAACAATGACATGCTCCCATGAGAGAAA